TACCGACTACAGTCTGGAAACATTTTTGTTTTATTTTATTGCTCTCAAAAATATTTTAAAAGTATACAAAACTGAGGGAAAGAAGTAAAAAAGACTGTCTCTCCATTTCCTAGGGTAAATCTTCCCATCTTTGCTGTTTCTGCTATGTATTCACTGATACCAAAAAGACTAGCAGCCCCCAGATCCTTTCTTCTGATTTCTAATAACTTCATGTCATTCACTCACTCACTCACTTTTAAAAGGTAATACAAACACATAATTCCAAAAAATTAAAATATAATATATGCCTCCATACAAACATAATGGCAAAATCTCATTTCTACTCTTATTCTCCTTCCACAGATAAACACTTCAATTGGTTCCTTATATGTCTTCAGAATTTTTTTTTGCAAATATGCATGTATATTGTACTGTTCTCTCTCAACACAAAAAAGTAGTATACTAAAAACTCAATATATATTAGAGGTCTTCTATATCAGAACATAGGTCTTTTTTACTCTTCTTTAAAAGTACACAATATTCCATGGTTTGGATTTTCCAATTTACTTAACTAGTTCCCTCTGATGGATACTGAAGTAATCTCTACCATATAAACAATAATGCCAAGTATAACCACCTACACACATCTAATTCATTTCTAATGTCTTTGATGAAGCCTCTAAAATGGTTCAGGAGATGAAATCATCATAAGGTTACAGGTTCACTAGGCTGAAAAGTGCCCCTTTTCTATTTCTCATTATGTACAGTAATATGTAGTAATTATACCCTTAGGGGATTTAGCTCATAAAAGTGAAATGACTAAATAGAACACACAGAATAAACCCATTTCTATTAAAAATACATATATATTTATGTATACACATGAATATACATGTAAAGTATAAAATATATCCATCAAAACATTAACCATTGATTCAGGATGATAGGATCTAGGAATTACTTTGTAGTCCCCCCCACACTTTTGCCGTTCAGTGATTTCTATTTACAACAATAAGAACAGACTACTTCTGTTTAAAACAAAATAAAATGTTAATTCAAATTAAGCTGGATATATTTCTTTTATCTGCCTTATATTTGTATACTGCTTCAGAGGGTTCAGTATCATCTCATTCCAGTGATTTATCCTCAGCACTTTATATATTATTAACTGCTCCTTTTTCTTGATTTAGATAGCATTTTATTAAAAATCTCTATTATCTCACTTGTCATAAAACAAATCAGTTGTTCATTCATCTCTTTTGCTTGCCTGTGAACTCCATGAGTAAGTCTCACTATATTTTCAGCATCTTGAATAGTACATGTCCCACAAGAGATTCATACATGGTAAAGAAGTAAATTATTTCACTACAATATAGTAGTTCCAAGAATTCAACATCCTTATAGATACCATGCCAACAATCTGAGAAAAACTAGCACCAGTTACTAAGCAGCACCATGGTTTACTCAGTTGTGACATACCCTCTGGTCAAGTTTTTTCAGCCTACCAGTAGTGTTCCGTAAACTTCATCTTTTTCTATCTGTGCCTTTGCATCTGCTGATCTCTCTTTGGAATGCTGTCTTAAGGTTTCATTTACCTAGAGAACATTCCCACTCATTCCTTAAGAATGAGTTCAAGGGCTAGGGATGTAGCTCTGTGGTAAAGCCCAGGCTTAGCAACATGCAAGATCTGTGCTTCAATACCCACCATGGGGGCAGGGGAGGACTGAATCAGCTTAAACAATACCTTCTCTGGGAAGCCTTCTATATTCATATCCTTTCAGGAAGAGTTGAGAATTCCCCAAATTCGATATTTCTGTATCTTTTACTATGTATAAGCCTCTGAACTAAGTGCCAAGGATAGAAAGACAAGGCTGTGGATCCTGCCCTCATGGAGCTCATAGTCTATAAGACAGCCATATGAATAATCACATTATAAGACATTAAATGCAACACCAAGAAGAAGATATATTGCATATTTGACATGTGTCAATTACTTTTTTTGTAGATGCCTTATTATCTTTGATCATGCTAGAAGGCATTTGAATTGGAAAGAAGACTGGAACTCTAAGACTGCTGCCCCTAGATAGGGTCTGAAGAACTGTCTCTAAGGAGTTTTATATATCCTATAGTTGTCAGACAAATAATATATGAAACCAACCCTGTTTCTTTGGCTGAAAGAAAGGAAACCAGGGCTCAGCGCTTCAACTTAGGACATAATACAGGTTGAACTTGAGGAAGATCAATAACCAAGAATATGGCTTGGCTCAAAATTCTGCCTAGTAGGGTCCTCCATTTTAGGAAGTTTCATTTTATTTGGACAGACAAATCCAATCAGATTATTTTCTTTTGGAAAATACAATCATTGGGTGAACAAAGTAAAAAAAAAAAAAAAAAAGCAGGTGCTAGAGCTCAAATCCTATCCTAAATACTGTTGAGTTAGTGTTCCGTGAGGTTTTAAAAGCTCTAGAACTGAGAGAAAATATGGATGCTTGAAATTATTTCCCATTCAAATTTACATTTACTACTCAGCACCAAAGGTAATATGTGTGAGCCTCTTCCCTGAAATCTAAAAAGTGTTTAACATGTAATACATATACATATGAAATCAGGCTCAAAATTCCAAGAACTTGATCAAATTCACCCACCTGATAGACAGAAGAGACAGAATTCAAAGACCATGATTCTACAATATCCCACCAGTTACATGGGCAAATGATCTCAAAATCAACAAATGACAAGTACAGATTGACACAGGTCAATGGAGAGAGGCTCAAAGGGAAAAGTTTATTCATAAGAGTAGAACAGATATATTCTGGAAGTATACTTGGGAAGGTAACATGAGAAAGAGCACACCAGGTGTCACCTTGCTCAAGGTAATTGATAATTTCAACCTGGACCTCCCTCTCCAGATTTATTAGCTGTCTTTCTAACTCAAATATAAGATCCACATAGCAAGAATTTAATCTCTAGCTTGGCTTATAATAAGTACTTATTAAATATATGTTGATTGAATAAATAAGTGAACAAATTATCAAAGAAGCTAAAGGAACATTCCACAGAGAATCTGGGGAGGGTACCATGAAATGGTCTCTAAGGATCACTTAGAAGCATGGTTGATCCTCACTATTTGTGGATCTCATATTTGCAAATTCATTTACTTACTAAAATTTATGTGTAACCCCAAAATTAACAAGTGGTGCTCTTGAGGTCTTTCCTGGATAAGTATACAGTGGTGAAAAATCTACTGCCTCTTGAATACATTTCAAGCTGAAGTCGAATAGGTGACATGGCTCAAAGATTCAGCTCTCATATAGAGATGACCAGAGGACAGACAGTAGGGGGCAGTGCAGTGCAAGAAGCTCTAGCTATAGGGCCAACTGGGATAAGGTTTGAATCAACTTTGGCACCTGTTAGTGAGAAGGCCCCAGGCAAATCCATGAACACTTTTGAACCCCATTTTATAAAAGTCTATTTTGCAAAATAAAGAAATTAGAATCTATCAGGATGGGTTGTTTTTAGGTTTAAGATTATAACCTATGTGAGATAGGTAGGTTCAGGAAATGGCACTGTGGGAAGTCTAGAGCAGTGAGAGATGAGGCCAGAACACAGTGCCACAGTGCTTCTCTGTATCCTGTACACATCCTGAACTGCAGAACCTCTCTTTGCATTTAATTCTTGGTTTATAGGTTTATCCTCCACCAAACTGAGCACCTCAAGGTCAAGGTCTCTAGGAAGAAACATAGCTATAGTCCTCTGAAATTTGCAAAGGATAACTATTAAGCACAAACATACCTGAAAAGACTTTACAAAAATAATGTTGTTTTTCACCTGCAGTCTTATATCAACTCACAATAGTGATCAACTCAGAGATCTGCAACTTATCCGGGGGTTTTCTTTGATGGCTGTTATAACTCTGACATAAATTATTCGGAATACCTGGGCATTTGTTAGTTTTAAGACCGTGCTCTACTGAGTGTAATTTATTAACAAGACTCAAACATATGATCCATTAGACAACTTATCACCTCAGAGTAAAGATTGCTTTGAATTCACTCTTATCTTTCTTTATACAAGATAAACTCTTACCATAAGTAAAATATAGGGAAGCATATTTATATATCTTACAAGTAGAATAAGAAAAAAAATTTTTTCTTTTCACAAAAGCTTTACAAAATCCTGGCCCAAACACAGTAAACATGATGTTAAACTCACAGCTTATATTTCTTCACTGAGACCTGGGAAAAACAATTCCATTTTATGTAAAATCATAAAACTAAGAATTATGGAAATGAATAGGGTTTTGTACACGTGTATATGCTCGCTCCTCTCATACACAAATAGCCTAAGAGGCCTATCAGTCTTAACTCAATATGCTCTCATTTCCTCCAAATCCTCACAGCTCAATATCTAAATTAATATTTTCAAACTTCTAAAATTTAAATCAAAATTAAGAGTGGTTAGTTTTTCCCTATAAAACTCTTGGCATAATTTTATTTAGGGGGCTGGAATGTAACTCGGTGGTAGAGCACTTGCCTAGCATACTCACCTGGGTTCAAATGCCAGCACTGCTAAAATAAATAGTACAAGATAGTGTGAAGTATAATCTATAAACATATGGCCAGAACTAACACTACTGGAAACCAAGCAGCTATACTATGAAGGTGAATACAAAGGTGAAAAGAGACTATGGAATGTTGTTTTTAAACAGATTCAATGCTGTTATTATCCATTCATAGGTTGGGTGTGATCAAATCCCATCGTGCAGTACAACTAAAGTATGTCCTATATTTTATGATAGGATAGCCAGGCCCTTAACTGGAAACACTGACGCTTTAGTTAAGCTCTTTAAAGTATAATCCAATTCCATCTACTGAAAAAATAATACATTTTAGGTCTGTTGCTGCCATAGGCCCCTTTCACCTGCATTTTCAACAATTATCATCAAAAGAACTGTATCGGGACAATGATCCTAAAAGGCTATAACGATCAAATGCCATCTTAAAGGAGGCAAAATAATTTACCTTTAACAAAGCGATTAAAGTTCCCAACCTTGCCAAGTTCCCTGTTCAGTGTATTCCGCCTCTTTCCAGTTCTTCTGTCTCTCTTGCGTTCACCTTCCAGCTGTCTGGAAGAAGCAAGTGGAAAATGTTAGTTTCCAAGAAAAATGAGAATGAAATTTAGGGGGTGAGAGGGTGATGGACTCACTCTCAGAAAACAAAGCATAAGAGAAGCAGCCAGGGTTTCTAAGTTAAATTAGGTATGAAGAATGAGGAGGGCTGGGGTAAAGGTGGAGGGAGTAGAAGATAGGCAGAAAATGCGCGGGGTCCAGCCAATGGGGGAGGGGTAAACGCGCAACTCCTCCTCGCTCTCGCCCCGGGGAGAGGGCGGGGGATGCAGCAATGGTCAATTTGCGCTACTAGCAGTGGTGCACCGGGATAGTGAGGGGGCCCACATGTCCGAGAATTCGGTCCGAGCGTTAGAAAGGGACTGAGGAGACTCAGGAACTTGGGTGGGAGAGAACAGAGCACCTGCGCGGAGAAAAAAAAAAAAAAAAGGACTAAAACCCTCTACTGCTCCCCAGAGATACAGGGTGACCCAAGCGGACGTCCCTTCTTGCTGAAAGGTGCAACGTGGGACCCCGCGGGCTTTCCCTCCCCACAGGTGTTCGGGTAGGCGCGCGCCGCCCCTTACAGCTCCCACGGCGGTCTAAAAGGGGGCGCAGGACGCCCCTAGATCCAAGGGTCCTTTCCCTTGTAGCTCCGGCACTCGAGCCCACCTGTGCTAACCAGAAGTCCCTCCTCCAGACCGTATTCTGCCACTCCTCGGGGAGCCTAAGCCGTCGCCGCAATGGTAGCAGTCGCCAGGACAGTCTCGGCCTCTAGTACCAAAACGTGAGCCACAGCACGGGAGAAGCGCCACTAACACTCGCCCGGTTACCTCTTACTGCACACTGGCTTCTCACCCCGCCCCCGAATCCAAGCCATTGGTTGCCGGGCACCGCCCCATTCGTCTATTGGACCGAGGAAGATGCCGCTCATTCACCTAGAAGGGCATATGTAGCTTTTATTGGTCTAAATGTGAAGCAGTGCCCGCCCATTCCCTCAGAAGTTTAAGCTTGTGATTGGTCTTAACGTCTGTCCGTTTACTCCCTTAGTTCTTTCCCTCGCGGTGGGGGTTTGGAACGCCCCCCTTGCCGGAGACCCTCCCCCGCACCCCCGACTGATTGACTAAAAGGACGCTGAGCTAATCCGGAATAGGCTTTGGGCCAAGGACGCGTCTGGCCTCCACGTGGGGGAGGAGCCCAAGGCTCAGCTCCTCTGGGTTTGTTTACACGAGCTTTAGCTTTTGCTTTTTGCATTGGCTGAGCCGGAAGCCAGTCCCACCGGGTTTAGCCAATCAGTTTAGCATACAGGAGGCTGGAGGCGGGCTTCAATGGGATTTCCCCTACTGTCAGTTGCCGCGGGAGGAGCTTTGAGCAAGGGTGGCTCGGACTTGGCGCAATGTTTTGTCGCGGAAAATTTAGGAGCTAGGCTCCTTGGAAGACTAGAAGGAATTAGAGGGACGCTTCCACATTTTTAAAAACAAACCTGAGCTATTCAGGTATTTTTTTAAGGCCAACTTATTTTCTCCCTTGGATTTAGGGCGTCCAATCTTAAAGGATTTTGAATTTTATTCTTCAAGAAATAGGAATATCTTTATGGTATATGAGTTTACAGTATATATCTTTGTCTTCTCCCACCCTCTTATGCTGACTAAAGAACTTGACACAAGTAGAGGCTTGGTGAATGAGTGGATAAATGATAATAAAGAGGAGAATTAAATTCAGATTAAATACCATAACTAAATATATTAAATACATATTTAACATTAAATAATACAATAAAGTAAATAAATCCATTTATTTATTCATCAAATGTTATTGAACATCTTCTAAAATGTTCCATACTCAGATCTACGCTTTGGGTATATAAAATGGATAAAACAAAGAAGATGCACCCCTAGTGCTTATTCTCCGTTAAGGAGAATGCCTAGAAGCAAGTAACCAATAAGGTTTTTTTTTTTTTTTTTTTTAAACTTTTTTTTTTTTAGAGAGAGAGAGAGAATTTTTTTAATATTTATTTAATTATTTTTAGTTTTCGGCAGATACAACATGTTTTTTTGTATGTGGTGCTGAGGATCAAACCCGGGCTGCACGCATGCCAGGCGAGCGCGTTACCGCTTGAGCCACATCCCCAGCCCACCAATAAATTTTTTAAAAAAAATTTTTTTAGATGTTGATGGACCTTTATTTTATTCATTTATTTATATGTGGTGCGGAGGATCAAACCCAGTGCCTCACACATGCTAGGCAAGTGCTCTACCACTGAGCTACAACCCCAGCCCCAACCAAAAAGTTTTAAAGTGTTAGGTTGTGGCTAAGTGCTCTAAAGAAAAATACAACAAGTGACAGAATGTTTGGAGGAATGGCTATTTCAAGTGTAAGTTAAAGAGCTGGTCAGTTTAAAAGTCTGTTTGAAAAAAAAAAAAAAAAAACATTAAACCAAGACATGAATAATGTCTAGCATGTACAATTCTAGGATCTCTATTCAAATTGTTTCACATTAATTTTGAAGTTTTATGATTAGGTGTACATCTGTTTAGGATTGCTTGCTCTGTTTTTTTTTTAGTTGTAGATGGACACTATACCTTTATTTTATTTATTTATGTGGTGCTGAGGATCCAAGGAGTGCTCCACACATACGAAACAAGTGCTCTACCACTAAGCCACAACCTCAGCCCAGAATTGTCTGCTCTGTTTTGAAGTTTTGTTTTTATAGATCATTCCTTAGTATCTACTGGAGATTAGTTTCAGGCTCCCCCAAGGATTTTTAAAATCCATGGATGCTCAAATTCCTTAAATTGGCCTTCTGCTTCCGTGGGTACATGAAATTTGCCATTTAAACTATTTTAAGTGTACAGTTCAGTAGCATTAAGTATGCTCACATTTTTACATTTAAATTTTTAGGAAGTGACATACTGTTTTTCAAAATGGTTGCACCACCCATTTTACATTCCTTTGAATAGTGTACAAAGGTTCCTATTTTTCTTCATCCTTGACAACATTTGTTATATTGTGTTTTTTTTTTATATTAATCATCTTAATGGTTGGAAATAATATCTAGTGAGTTTGGTTTGAATTTCCCTAATGATTAGTTATGTTGAGCATTTTTTTTCCTGTGTATATCTGTTTTCAAAAAATGTCTATGCAAGTCCTTTGCCCATTTTAAAATCAGATTTGTTTTGTTTTTTGAGTTGTAGGAGTTCTTCAGGTATTCTGGATATTCATCCTCTATCAGATATATGACTTGCAAATACTTTATCCTGTGAGTTGTCTTTTCTCTCTATTGATAGTGTCTTTTAATGCTGGCGGAGTGTTTCTGATTGTGCAAGGACACCATGTGGTTCTAAAGAGCCTGTTTTTTCAAAGCCATAAGATTGCCCAAGTCCCTCTCTTATTATCCTCCTGAAGGCCACCTAGGGAAGGAAGCAGAGGAGGCTATAGCAAGGCTATCATAGAGACAGATTTAAAAAAAAAAAATAAATAAAAGAATTAAGCATTTCTTATAGGGTCAAATTTACTTAATCAGACAAAGCTTTAAAGCAAAGTGGAGATCTTTTTGTTTGTTTGTTCTTTTTAGATATACATGACAGTAGAGCGTATTTTGACATATTATATGTGCATGGAGTATAACTTGTGGAGTGGAGATCTTGTTTTGTTTTGTTTTGTCTCCCCTTACATCCCAGAGAGGTTCCTGGGAGAAACCCCGATAAACTGGAGAGGTAAAATAGAGAAATAAGTGGATACACTGGCTGGGCTTTGAAGCATCTGCAGTTACTGTAGAAGCTCTTCTGAACATCTTCACCAACCCAAGGAGCAATGTAAAGAATATTTGGCTCAGTGGGGGGCTCCAAGGGAGAGCTCTTTTGTGACTTCTCTCAAAATTGTTATACTATCCATTTATTCTAGAAACAGGAGGACTTCTACAACACAGAGTCACCAACCCTAGGGAATTTCTCCAAGATCTTTCTATAGGGACACTGACTAACTCAAGATAAATGACCTAGAGATACAGGCATTTGGAGATCCCTAAGAAATGTCTGGGTCCTACCTTATTCCCTATGGTGAAACCAACTAGTCAACAATTATACACAAAGATAATTTATACACAATTTTCTTTATACTGCTGCTTTATTTTCCCAATGTTGGGTCTGGAACATAAACTCTCATACATGCTAGGCAAGGGCAAGCTCTAACACTGAGCTGCACCCCAGTCCCTAGTGCCTTGTTATTTATTTAATTTTTTTGGTACTGGGAATTGAACCCAGGGGCACTTAACCACTGAGCCACATCCCCAGCCCTTTTTATTTTTTATTTTGAGTCAGAGTCTCACTAAGTTACTGAAGCTGCTTTGAAATTGCAATCCTCCTGCCCTAACCTCCCAAGCCACTGGGATTACAGGCATGTGCCATCGCGTCTGGCTAGTATCTCATTCTTTATCATGAATGGACAATGATAATCAGACAATTGAGGAAAGTATCTAACAGGAAAGACAATGATTAAATTAAACACACAGGGAAAAAATAAGCTCAGTGGAAACTGAGACAATGTAAGAAACAAAGTGAAATGAAAAAAGAAGGAAACAAAAAACCCTTTAATTAATATCCTTTAAGGATAAGATGCTGCATCATTAAATGAGAAGAAAATGCTACTTAAAAAATTCAGAAAACAAGAAAGAGTTCTTAGAAATTAAATAAAAACTTAAAATTAGCGTTTTTCATCCAGGCACAGTGGTACAGGCCTATAATTTTCACTATTTGGGGAGTTGAGGTAGGAGAATTCCAAGTTCCAGGCTGGCCTCAGCAACTTAGCCAAACCTATCTCAAATTTTTAAAAATCTTTAAAAAGGCCTGGAGATGTAGCTCAGTGGTAGAGCAACCCTGGGTTTAAGCCCCTGCACTTCCATAAAAAAAATGAAATAAAATAAATTTAGAGTTTTATTTTGCTCTTAAACAGAAGATGCCTGGAAATAAGAAAATGGGGCTCCAACATTCCACACAGCAGGCAGGAACAAGAAGTGAAGAAACTATGTCTCTTCCCTTTAAGGGACTTCCAGGAAGTGTTTCATTTACCATTTCCATTTACACCCACTGCCCGGAACTTAGTCATATGAACAAACTCAGCTGTAGCGGGAGTCAGGAAATTAGTTATTTATTATCAAGTGCTAGTAGTAAAACAGGGATTTTACTATTAAGTTAATAGAAAAGAATGGATATGAATACCACAGAAGAGCTGGAAGATGAAATTGATAAAATATCATATAAAGCCAGGTGCAGGGGTCCATACCTGTAAATCCTAGCAACTTGGGAGGCTGAAGAAGGAGGATTGCAAGTTCAAAGCCAGCTTCAGCAACTTAGTGGGGCCTTAAGCAACTTAGTGAGATCTTGTCTCAAAATAAAAAATCAAAAGGGCTGGGGATGTAGCTCAGTGGTAAAGTACCCCTGGGTTAAAGCCTCAGTACCAAAAAAAAAAAAAAAGGAAAGAAAGAAATGTCATATAAAGCAAAATTTAAAAGAAAATTACATGGAAGATAGAGAAGATAATGTAAGAAATGTTCTAGAAGGAGGGGTCGATAAAAATTCTGAAAGGATATAAATTAAATGATACCAAAACATGTCTCATAACTAACTTAATTCCTTAAAAAAATGAACTCAACAACCACCCCACATTTTGAATTTAAAAAGTCCATACCAGTAATATCTAATACTTGCTGAGTTTTAACTGTGTGTCAGGTATCACTTTAAGCAGTTAATATGTATTAATCTTCATATTTGTTCTTCAAAACAACACAGTACTGTTATGATTCCTCCCTC